TGCGGAGGAGCAGTGCCTTAGGTGGTTCACCTGGGCCGGGCCACTCAGAGTCGCTGGGTTATGACGCTGTATGTGGAGGTGGGGTCAGAGCAGGGAAATGGCAGTGCCCTCCACTGCCGCTTGCCGTGGGGACCTGCCAGCCCGGTCCAACCGCCCACTCCCTCGCCTGTCCACCCTCGCACAAATGCGCGACCTCAGTCAACACGCAGCCCCGGGCCCGGCTGTCTCCCCCGAGGTCGCTCGCCTGGTTGCTCGCTGGGTCGCTCACTAGGTCTGACCCTGCGCCTGGATTCCGCCGGCCTGAGTGTGTCTGGCCGAGTCCTCCTGTGCAACCCTGCTCCGCCAGCCGCTGGTTTCGCCCCTTACGGGTCAGGCTGAAGAATTTGTTGTTAACGGACTTCCGAAAAGTTCAATTTTCTGTGTTCTGGCTGTGTTTTCTGTTGCTAATATTCAGTTTTCTCTAATCTTGGTTGTGTGAGAAGGCACGGCACATCCACCTATGCCTCCATCTTGGCGGAAGTCCATTCTCTTCTATTTGGTCATTTTTTTTCTTTCTTCTGGTTCACTCCCTTGATTTGAGTCCCAGTTTCCTTTCCATTACTATTGGTTTCCTGTGCATTACTATTCAATTCAATTAGTGTAGCCTTCATATGTTCCTCTAATTTGTGACTAAAATCAACCAGTTCTGTGAGGATCCTGATCACCAGTGTTTTGAACTATGTATCTGAAAGTTTGGCTATTTCTTCATCGCTTAGATTTATGGGCTCTGGGGCTCTGAGTTGTTCTTGAGCCATGTTTTTATCTGTTTGTGCCTGTTACATATGAGGAGCGGAGCCTTAGTTGTTTACCAGGGTGGGGCCGCCCAGGTCGCTGGTTTGTGATGCTGTATGTGGGGGCGGGATCAGACAGGTAGCAATGGCGGTCCTCTCCGCCTGCCCAGTCCGTCCCACCGCTCGCCCTCGCCTGTTTATCTGAGCGGAAACGTGGGAGCCTGCCACCCTGGGCCGTGCAGTCTCAGTGCTGGCCTCTTCACTGGTTTATCTACAGGCAAATGCTGGACTGACCGCAGACAGCCAGCCACGCCTCTTCCCTATGCCTGCCCGTAGCTAGCCTGCACCTGGGATCCACGCCTTTGGCTGCCTACGCACCACCTCCGTTGGGGATCTTTTTGACCAACCTGCTCTGCTGCTGGCTTTGCCCCTCTTACCGGTTTAGCTGAGCATTTCGTTGTTTTTGGACTCCGTATTGTCGATTTTCTGTGTGGTTTGGTTGCTTTTATTGTTGTTAAAACTTTATTGTTTTTAGATTTGGTTGTGCGAGGATGCAAGGTGTTTCCACCTACTCCTCCATCTTGGCGAAAGTCCTGAAGTCAGTCATTCTTATTCTCAGTGAATATTTGTGGAACAACTGTGATGTGCCAGGCACTGTGTCCAGTGCTTCTGACATATCACATGAGGTCTGAAATTTATTACTGGTCTAATATAATTTTTTTCATGAATTCTTGCTGGCTTTTTTGTTAATTACTTATAAAAATTTTCTAAATATTTAAACCAGTGATTAGGGATAGTCTCTTGCTAGTATGTAGATTTGTGAAATCAGTAATATTTTTCATTTTTAAAAATCAGAATGACATCCACTTTCCTCATATGCTATCCCACAAAGAACACTGAGAGCACCCAGGAGGTATTTGCAAGTGTTCAGTAACCTGAAATATATATAAAATAACCTAAGACTTGCATTTTATAAACCTTTCAACCTCCTTGGACTTTACTTTCTGAGTCTTAGTCCAGAGAAAACAGAAACAAAGTAATGGGCGATCATTCTTTCTCTTCTTCATTGATCAGTAGGGTACCCTTAGTCTTTATTTGATATGAATAGAACTTAAAAGAAAGTATTTCTATTTCTCTGCTATTATGTCAGTCTTGTGTGGAAACCAGAATACTTACAAGTGGTTCTTCCTAGCTTGTTTATACTTTTGAGATAAACAGTATATATAAATGAAAGTAGGCAGCTATTCTAGTAGAGTGGTAGGATTATGGATAATTTTTTGAATAGAGTATTTTAATTTCCTCTAATTTTTATCATCTTTTTAATTAAAAAAGAAAACCTTTAGCTTTGAAATATATTTAAAGGTCCTGTATAGAAAGGGAAAGTTCCTGTTCTGTCTGCATTGGTGAATGATTGATTTATCAAGACCTTCAAGAAATTGTGGAGTTCTTATTACTTTCATCACATTTTTCATGTCTTCCTTTTGTTGAAAACTCAGGTTAAATGAATTATGTATTTCCTATGATACTGTTTGGGACAGAGGAAGGGGAAAAGTGTGGCTCCATGTGGAAGACAAACTAAATTAGCTGATAGAGGGAATCCTGACTAAGGGTTCTAGGCCGGGTTGGAAAACTCAAAGATGAGGCTCTTACCTCAAGTAAAAGGAGCACATAGGAAGCAAACTCAGGATGTTTTCTCCAACACTGTACCCAAACCAATACTGATCCCAGTAGTTTGTATATTAGGGATCAAGCATAAATGAGACCACATCCCTTTTTTTTTTTAGGTTTTTCACTCTGGAGCAAAAATAAAATTAGTTGTCATGGTAATGCTTACAATCCTGGCAGGTGTGTGCCTGGAATACCGGTTTTGCCTTTAGAGGGTGAGGGAGGAGTAGACTCTGCAAAGCCAAATGAAATTAAGTAGGATATATCCTCCTTGGAAAGTTAATACCACTCAGAGCAACTCAGAGCCTAAAACTTGGCTCTTTGCTTGATAGTATTATATGAATAAGAGCAACCTTTAGGGAGACACATATTCCTGTAACCAAAACATATAGCAAATACTAATTCAGCTCATTTAATTTTCACAGTACAGTTCTACATTATAGAGACTATTATAACTCTCAGTTTGCAGATGGGTAATCTGAGGCACAGAGTGATGGGATGCTCCACTAGCAGAGGTCCCCTGGATCATTAGGTATGAGAATAAAAATGCCCAACAAGTGATCTGCTTGGGAAGGAAAGGAGAAAGGTCCTGAACACCTTCTTCCTTGAATATTTATTGAGTTCAGCTCACACAGAAATACATAATATGCACATAAAGCTTATCAACCACTGTCCAAAAAGCTGCAGTCATGAAAAACTGACATCATTTACAGATAATAGTTGAAGAAACAGAAATTGTCTCTGGTCAGGGTTGGCTTTAGCTCAAGTGTCTGTTTCATAGCAACAGGGCAGAGCAAACCTTAAAGGAAACAATGTATATTCTTTCTCTGGCCAGATTGCCAGCAGGAGCCATCTGTTCCAATACAAGGTTGAAGCTGCCTCTGGCATACTTCCCAGGCTGAGTCAGATAGGGAGAGCAAAGCAGCCAAGAGACTAGGAGACTTTTACAGAAAGACTGAGGACTGAGACTATGACAAAACCAAGGAGTGAGGGTCTTTATGCCCCTTCTCTGAAGACCCCTAAGTCCTTCCCTGATGGCCCATAATGATTGTGCCTATCTTAGGTCACCTCTCCCTTGAGGGATCTTACCCACCTTTGGCTAACCAGTCATCTGCCCAGGGTCAAGCAAGGAGAAGTGAGGGAGGCAGGGGCTGCGCTTTTGCCAGGAGAAAATGCTCTGTCTCCTTAGTGGCTTATGTCCCCAAGGCCTTTTCACTCAGCAGTAGCAGTGGGACCTTTACTGTCTGTTAATGAGGCTATATAGTCCCTGAAACGAGGCAATATAACTCCCAACAACAGAGAAACTTTAAAACTTTCTCAGGATCACACACCTAATTAGGGGTAGAATTAGAATAGACTATAAATCTAAACAGTCTCAGCTCCAGAACCCATGTTCTCAGCATGTGCCTTTCAATTCTGTCCAGCTTATCGTTTCATGTACTAGCACCATGTTCTCTCTCCATCTTTTCTAATTTTTTTCCCTAGGCTAACCCTTTGGTTATAATAACTCATGAAAGATTCATACAGTCCACCCCTTCCCATTTTGGAGTGGGGCCATATTTTTATCTTGTATTCAGCTACACACTAACCAAACAATTCTATTAAAACTAGTAAAAATATAAGCATTAAATAGTTGAGACACAAGTATTGTCCTGGATGGCACTCAATCCACTATGTTGACTCTGACATTCTGCAGTGTAGGAGGTGTAAGTAATTTAAATGAACTGCCTTCAAAGTTTCCCCATACTTTTTTGTCCACTAAATACTGTTTTTGTTCTTATATTTTTTCTTCCATTTAGAAAAATAAGGTACCTTTTAAATATTTAGTTATGAGATATTGTATAACATATAGACAAGATTTACAAGCAATATAAAACTAAAGGACATATAAAAAGCTTGGAATGTTTGTAACTGATAATTCTTTAGGCACTCATTGTCATGGACGTAAATATGCTTTACATGCTAACTCTACTATTGCCAACAGATGACACTTTTAAGAGTAGTCATAAATCATATAATAATGAACTATATGATATTTGCATTCTGCTTACTTCAAAATTTAAGGTGCTATATTTAGAACATTATAAACAATAGCATATAAACCTGTTGTTATATATATAACAGCATGTAAACCTGTTTACAACTCACATAATTGAGTTTTAAAAATGCCAGTAACAATCAAGTGACATATGAGTAGTTTAGCAGTTCTGTGAGGTGTAGGTGAATTTGAAAATCACATGCTATGAAGCTCTTTGTCACAAGCAGTAAAGTGTTTAGTGTATACACTCATTCAGATTATAAGGAAAAAATAATCCTCTTTTTCAAAAGGCTCCCTTTTGAAATTTGTAATAGTTTGCTAAACTTCAAGCCAGTATGTATTGCTTCTAGAGTTATTGGGCTCAGCACTATGGAATCCAAGAAACTCATGGAATATGTAGAAATAAAATATTAACATATATAATATTTCCTCCGATCTCATACTGAATACATGTAAAGAAAGGCATTCGATTCTTGGATTTGTTTAAAAAGAAAATGTTTAAATTCAATCACTCTTTTCCCTCACAGATTGCAGACTTTGGTTTGTCAAAATGGCGCCTGATGTCCTTGTCACAATCACGAAATAGCAAATCTACACCAGAAGGAGGGACCATTATCTATATGCCACCTGAAAACTATGAACCTGGACAAAAATCAAGGGCCAGTGTCAAGCATGACATATATAGGTATAGTGCATTAGTTATACTCAGAGTTAACTTGTCTAAAAAACAAGATTAATCCATCAGAATTTTGAAAGTACATTTTAAAGAGTGATTTTTCTTCTTCTCTCCTAAGTGTAGGGAAAATAAAATCGAGCCCATAGTAACTGGTATTTCTGAAGTTAAACATGCTTTGCTTTAAGCCACTTTTATATCCCTGAAAACATTTTAAAACACATCTTATTGTCCTTTCGATTTATAATACTTCAGGGTTTATTCATATGTGACTTTGATTAGGGCAGTTGGTTGGGGAGAGGGGCTCGGATAGGGACAATCTGGTTATCACTTAACACTACTTAAGAAGACAGTACTTAGACGAGAACAAAGTCAATAAATAGGGCTACATAGGACAGTTTTCTTACTGCTCTCTATTTTGTGTGAATAATGAAATCATATAATTAGAGGGTACAGCCTATCTAGGTGTTTAAGAGTGAGTACTGAGTTATGCACAAGTTATTTTTGCATATAACTTCATTTTTATAATAGTAATTTCCAATTTTTTTAATTTAAGATTAATTCCCTTTTAAAACAAACTGAATATTCATCATCTTGGTTCTAAGCACTTAATTCTTTATACATTTCACTACTTTGTCACTTTTAAAAAAGGGTATCTCCACAGTCAGCTTTTAAATTTAGTATTATAGTTTATTATGCATAGCTAGTTTATAATATACTGTCTGTATATTTTTATCTTAAAACAGCTATGCAGTTATCACATGGGAAGTCTTATCTAGAAAACAGCCTTTTGAGGGTAAGTGTTCTGGGTAACATGTTGGTGGGCCACATGTAGAATTCTCTAAAGCTCATTTTATTTTAAATCTGCCTACTATTCATTTTATAGAAAACACACTACAAAACATAACTTACCATGAATCCACTGTACACCGAAAAATATACTAGATTCTAAATAAGAAAAATTAGATTCTAATTCTTTCGGTAATTAATTCTGTCATCAAGCTACTAAATTTCTTGTCATTTTTTTTCTCTGTGAAATGAGAATTTTGAATTCCTGTTTCTAAGATTCATTCCAGCTATCAGCCTCTTCATATGAAAATTTAATTAGTGGGCTCAGTACAAAGACCAGCAAACATTAAAGAAGAATGTTTAAATTTTCTGAAAATATTATTTCTTTATTTTGAGGTTTGTATAAGTCAGCTTGCTGTGTAGTAGACATCTCAGAATCTCAGTAGCTTATAAAATAAACATTTATTTCTCAATTACATTGGATATTAGTTGCTGCGGCCCTTCCTGGGTCTAATAAGTTCAGTGCAGCTTGCCCAAATCCAATCACATGGCGGAGCCCAATGTCAATGAGATAATGATGTAAACTCTGCCCATAGAGGCAGACAAGCCTTGCGATGGCTGGGTATACATATTTCCTTTACAGAATGGGGTGGGGGGGGGCAGTGAATTAGTCCCAAGATTTTAAGATTCCCTCATTTTCACTTGGTTGGGTTTAGAGTGCATTTAGCATATTGGATCATAAAATATTTCTAATGAATGACATTTGTTTTGACAGAAGTCACCAATCCTTTGCAGATTATGTATAGTGTGTCACAAGGATATCGACCTGACACTAGCGAAGAAAGTCTGCCATTTGATATACCTCATCGGGCACTGATGATTTCACTCATAGAAAGTGGATGGGCACAAAACCCAGATGAAAGGCCATCCTTCCTAAGTGAGTAAATACTTTCCCCTGGACCTCCTGAATTAGAAAATAGTGAATATATTGTGAATCAAATATTCCTTGAAACACAAACTAGATGACAAGCTCAAAGTTGTTTTTATTCTGTTTACTCTTATTATTCATAGCATTAATAAAAAGATAACTGCTTCTAGAGCAGAACTGAGATTCCTAATAGAAAAGAAATCTGATAGGGGTAATCCATTCTTGTGTGCAACAAATATTTACTGAAACCTTCCCTTGTGCCATGCCTATGAGGTGAGCACTGAGAGCAGAGTAGTGACCAAGACAATCTTAGTTGTTAAATTCCTATATCTCACATCCTAGTTGAGAAAGCAGAGAAAAAAACAAATGAACAAATGAACTGTAAATTACCGGAGTCCTATAAGAAAATAAGCAAGGTAACAATAGTAATGGGAGGGGAAGGAAACCCTTTTACTTAGGAATAAATGTTTAAAGTGAAATTCACAGCTTGAAAGGAGGCAGCCTTCTACAGCTAAAAGCAGGTATGTCAGGCAGAGAAAACAGCCAGGGGCAAGCATTCAGCTGGAAGAGGAAAGTTTGTATTCAGAGGAACAAAAGAGGCCTGAGTGGCTGGAATGCCTAGCGGGAAAGGGAATGATGCTCAGAGGGAAGGAGAGGCGGCTACTATCATGAAAAGGCTAGATATTTGTTCGCAGTACAGTGGGATACCATGGAAGCATGTCTCACAGGAAATGAGCTGATCTAATGTGAGTTTAGAAGTCACTCTTGTTGTTTGGAATGGAGGCAGAGACCAGCCAGGAGACTTTCCTAATTGGCATGGTAATCCTGGAGACAGAAAAATTAGACAGAATTAAAATTTACTTCAGGGGGAAGAATGAATCATCACCTAAATGAAGATATAGGGGAAAATTTCATGACCTTGGATTAGACAAGTTGTAGGATATGACATCCAATACAAGATCCATAAAAGAACTGATATTTGGACTTCACAGAAACTGAAATTGTTTGCATTTCAAAGATGTTTTAAAAAAATGAAAAGACAAGCCACAGACTGAGAATATTCATTCCAACTAAAAAATGAAATTATTTTCCATTCACAATTTATATTCAGGACTCATCTGTTATATTTAAAAAATCAAAATTTGCTAAAATAAAGGGTTCACATTTTATCTCTTATTTCCCAGAACTGTGTGGGAGGTTAATACCTCCTTTGCCCCCAGGGCCACTTCTAAATAGTTTCTTCTCCATTTCTTAAAAGTTCTAGCTCTTCTGCAGTTTATACATTAGGCGATACTACTTTCTCTGCATACCTACTGGGTTTTCCCTGCTATTGCCTGATGACTGTAGCATCTGGCCTACTGACTTCTCCACCTGCATTGGTCAGTTCTCTGAGTACTTGACAATCCTCCACATGCGACAATTCCAGAGTACCTCTCCTCTCCTGTTCTCTGTCCTGTTAACACAGTCTGCTTTGGTTGACAGTCTTCTGAACAAAATGTCCCCAGGTTCCACCTCATGCACATCCTTCCCTCAAGGCAGTAAGGCTGGCAATCCTAAGGCTCACTGAATGTTTCTCATTTCTCACATCACTGTCCTTTGTTGCCTGATAGCTGCTGTCTTGAAAACCACTCACTGTTTTGTATATTTGTCTGGATTTTTTTATTTCTTCAGGCAAGAGAGTAAATTTGCTCCTTTTACTCCATCTTGACCACAGTGGAACTTCCTGGTTTCTCTTTAAATCAATGGCTCAAACTGGGCCCTTAAACACTGTTTCTCAAATATATTTACTGCTCCATTCTGACATACCAGCTGTTCTTAAGGTGTGGTGAGGGACTCCAGAGGTGGGGCAGAGGGCGGTTTCTGAGATTCTTATAGGGGTTCACAAAACCAAAACAGTTTTCAAAATAATAAATACTAGAACTATATTCCTTTTTTACTCTCATCCTCCCAAGAGCCTGTAGTGGACTTTTTCCAGATGCTAAATGCATGACGGTATCATTGCTATAATAGATGATGCAATGTGTTTTTATATACTCTTATTTTAAATTTCTCCATTTAAATTTCTAATATACCAAATATCAGTAAATATGACCCACATCTACAAAAGGTCTTCAGGTTACTCAGTAATTTTGATAAGCCCTGAGTCCTAAAGGCTTCAGAATTGCTATCTTAGATGATCACCTTGACATCTTTATGTCTCCAAAGTAAAACTCTTAAAACATTCCACCTGGTGGCTCCCAAGGCACAAGAGACCACTGTCACCTCCAAAGTGAAACTCTCCTTAAAATTTCCCATCTGGTGGCTTCCAGGGCACAGTGGACTACTATTGTCTCTTCCTCAGTACTTTATCTTCCTCTGCTCAATTTCTAACTGCCTGAAAACACCAGAACTCTATTACGGGTTCTTGACTCCTTGCTATCTATACTCTTCCCAGGTGTTGCAGTGCAGACTGTGGCTTTATTTACCACCTATGTATTCCTGCACTTGTTTTGCTACCTGGAGCACCAGCCCCTCCCTTGAGCAAAGAGTTCATTTTTTTATTGTATTAATAGTAGTAATTATGATTGTTTCTACTTGTTGGCTATTATGAATAATGCTGCTATGACTATTCATATGCCAGTCTTTGTGTGAACATGTTTCATTTCTCTTAGGTAACTACCTATGAATAGGATTACTCAGTTGTATGGTAAATTATCATCCTTTTTAAAAAAAAACTGCCAAACGGTTTTCCATAATGTCTGCATCATGTGCATTTCCTCCACCAGTGGATGCAGTTTTCAGTTTCTCTGCACCACTGTCAATACTTGATACTGCCTGTCTTTTTAACTATAGCTATGAAGGGGGACACCCCCAAAACCCAGAATTATCTTCTGGAGGGCAGGCCCCTTATAGTACAGGCTTCCTTGCTAGGTGAGTGTTCTAGGAATCCATCTGTATCAGTGGACCAGCTGGCATTGTTGTGAGAGGCTGCATTTGGATTCAGTGAATATTTTTTCAAGACACATTTGCCCATTTCATGATGGGTGATTTGTGAGCGCACCTGCCACACCGTGCTGATTATTCACCTGTTTTTCACCAAAATTTGCATGACCTTGCTGCCCCACCCTCCCTATTCCCCCAATCTCACCCTGAGCAACTATTTTTTGTTTCCCTTGATGAAAAAAAGTGCTCACAGGAAAATATTTTCCCAATGTGGAAGAGGTCAAACAAAAAAATAATGGGAGCACTAAAAGGCATCAAAATCAAGGAGTTCAAAAACTGTTTTGAGCAGTGGAAAAAAGTCTTGATAGGTGTATTGCATCAAATGGAGAGTACTTTGAGGGTAACTGAAGTTTAAACATGTATGAATAAATACACAATTTTTTTATAAATAAATTCTAGGGATTATTGTCCCCCTCTTATATTTTGCTGGCTATGGAACAATAGATATTGAAAGGTTTTCTTAGGCTCCGCCAAGGAAGAAATGCCAATCAGCCACAAAGGCAGTATAGAGCTTTATTGGGGTTTGCGCACCTGGGCCAAGTTCTCTAGTCTGCAAAGTGGGGCTGAAGAAGTCGCGCCCAAAGCAGGGAATGTGGCGGGGTTTTATTTTGGTAGGCTCTCTTCGTGGGAGCTGGGGATTGGTGCCCTTTGAACAAAGCGGCAATATATCATTGGTGGTTCTCCTCAGGCTCAGGTTGCTACGCTGATATCCGTTTTGGCAAAGCCCGCCATTTTGGCTCCATAGTTTCACTTCAGCCATCTTTTCCGGGTTGTAGTTCAGCCACCATTTTGTTCTACCCGCCCATCCTGACATTCCAGTCTCTTTGATAGGATAAGGGGCACCATGTTGATCCAGCTACTTCCTGCTTTCAGGGGGCCGTAGAGGGGAGGCGCTAGAGGTTGGCGGTTTCTGGTTTGTCAGGGAGAGGCGAGTAGGTATGGACCTGAAGCAGCATCTGGTTAAAGGTAACCTGGGAGGCTTCGTGAATTCTTTCCTGGAAGAATCTCAGGAAACGGATCAAGCATAAATAGTATGCAGATTATTATGGCTGGCCCCTGGGACCAGGACCAGGGTGGTAAAGAGTAGGAAATGCCACCACAGGGTTATTGTTTTGAGAGTGGTGGGGTGTCGGGTAATTTGTCCCTGAGGTTCTGTAGGGCATTCTCTTCTACTATGCCACTCTCATTCACATAGAAGCGGCACTGTTCCTGCAGGAAGAGACATGTTCCCCCTTTCCTGTTGTGAGTAGGTCTAGAGCTCTGAGGTTCTGGAGGGCAACATGGGCTACCAAGGTTATCCGTCTCTGCAATGATGCTAGAGAGGGCCTGCTCCAACTCAGCCCGTAATTGGCAAGTGGCTTAGAGACTGTGTGTTAACCCAGCACTGCCTATCCCAGCTGCTGCCAGGGTTATGGTGAAGGTTAGACCTACTAGTATGGGAAGGAAGATGGCTCGTTTTTCTTTATGCCTGGTTAGTTTTTCCTTGAGTTCTCGTTCTCCATGATGTATAAGCTGCGGGGTCAGTATGGTTGGGAAGCAGGGGAAGGCTGAGGAGGAGTTAATGGTCCACAGCAGCGTTCCATTGCACCAGAAAAACGTACCTGGGGGACTGGTAGTGGTTTCTGATATCTGCATGGTCTGGTTGCAGGAGGAAGTACCCACAGTAGTATAACATACTTTGGGACTGTTCATTGTGTTTTGAAAGAGAGGTACATCTATGTATTGGAGGACCTTGCTAGAGCCTAGGTCACAGGAGGCTAAGTCTCGAGCTAAAGCCTGACCAAATAAATGTGGGCTATCTCTAAACCTTTGCGGCAAGACTGTCCACATAAGCTGTTGTAACAGAGCAGTGTTAGGATCTGTCCATGTGAAGACAAAAAGAAACTGAGACTCTGGGTATAGTGGGATAGTGAAGAAGGTGTCTTTGAGGTCTAGAACTGAGAAGTGGGTTGTATTAGGAGGAATGTGAGAGAGAATAGTATAGGGGTTAGTATTCATCCCTGTGGATAGGGATGACCACTTCATTG